TTCTGTCTTCTTGGAGACCCATGCGTTGATGTGTTTCCTGGACTTCTCTGCAGCCTGGGCAAAGGAAAGCTGCTCCAGCTCCGCGTGGTAGAACTGAACACAGGCGTCCTTGAACGACTGCAGAGAGGAAAGCCTTCAGTGAGGCTGCCTGGCTACAGGAGGTGCCAGCAAGCTCCCCCGAATTCGGAGCTTACATTCACCCTTGAGTTAAAACGGGAAAACGCATCTTTCCATGGTGACCCAATCTCAGTCCACCAGCTGTGAAAACATCCCAGTTTGTAACTAGACACGGCCTGCGCCTGGAATGAGCAGGGATCAATACAGGAGCTTCAGAAAGGGCCGATTGTAAACAAGGCAAGGTGCAGCTGTACAATCCTAGTCTTTATTTTAAAATGTCACTGTCAGTTTCCCAGGTTCTCTAAGGACTTTATCCCAGTCTCTAGGTCACCAGGTGTTTTGAATACGACTGAGGGTTCTGATTCAACTTACAGAGAGGAATTCACAGGTCTTTTCTCCGAAGAGCCTGTTGGCAGTTTTAAGCAGGTACTGCGCATCCGGCCTGTTGACATGGGTGAGAAGTGACTGGAAGCCCTGGTGTGCGTCTTCCCCTGTGCTCAAAGAAAGTGCCTGCGGAGAGAAACCCTTCCAGGTGACCTCAGTGCTCTGGGTCTGCTGTGTTCCAAAGGATCATTCCTTAAGGCCAGCGACATGGCTCAGTAGGCAAGCCTCTGCCCATGGCAACAGCATGCCTTAGGGGCACTGGTTCATGTCCCAGCGGCTCCACTTCTGATTCAGCTGGGAAACAGCAGAGGATGCTCCAAGACCACAGGATCCTTGCACCAAAGCAAGGACTCCTAGCTTTGCATCTGCTCAGCTCTAGCTACTGCGATCATTTGGATGGTGAACCAGTGGATGCAAGATCTCTCTCTCTCTCTGTGTCTCTTTCCCTCTGTAACTTTCAAATAAAAATAAAACATATCTCCTAAAAACTACTACCCTGAGAGGAGGCTGTTTCTGTTGTAAATGACCACTTAGCACATCCTGGAGAAGTGACACTGCTGGGCATAGGAGAGGAGTGGCCAGCCCAGGCAGAGACAGTGGAAACCGAGGCAGAGAAAGAACTGGCCCTGCCACCTGCACAGAGTTCCTTGGCTTCTGTTTTGTTTTGTCCAGATTTAGGGGAAGGGACGGGAACAGCAAAGAAGACAAGGGCAGAGAGGTCCAGCAAAGGGCTGCCCCCCTCCAGGAGCAAAGCTCGCTCTAACGCACACCCATGAAGACAGAGGTGAGAGCACCAAAACTGGGCAGAAATGCAGCCATCAGGGGCATCTTCAAAAGCAAAAAGGGTGTAGGGCGAGGGATGCGGTTCCCGAGACTAAGCATAGAAATCCTCAGGAGAGGAGTGTTTCTCACACACAGAGAAAAAGCAGCATTGGGCCACAGAAAGTCTTCAACCTCCTCTCTCACACACAGGAGGGGGCAGGGTTAGAATGAGCAAGCCTACTGGGAGCCATCCACCCGGGGGAGAGAAAATCCTGCTGAACACAGGAGCCACACTGCCCCGAGGAGAGTGCGTGGACAGGATGGCGCTGGCAGTGTCTCCTTGGGCCCTACACACACTGGGAGCCCTGGGTGCTAGGACTGGCCCTGGAGCCGTCTCCAGATGCTCCCAGAACATCTGGAGCACACAAGGAACAAGTGCCTTAGTCTTTGTCAGAGGCCTCGAGCCCAACCCTGGAAGGTCCTTCATGGGTTTCTGTCCCTCCAGCTCCGTACTGAGCGAGGACACAGGCTGGGAAGCAGGTGTTCACCTCCCAATGGTGAGCAGCTATGACTGCAAAGGCTTTGCCCCTACAAGGAGAGAGAAGCTAGCAGCTTAGCTTCTAGAAAGTTCTGGTGTCACTTTCTAAATAAAAATAAGATGCAGCATAAAAATCCAACAGTCTTTTCAGGGTCAACAATTGGAGAAACACTTTTCCTTATTCCACCCCATCCTTCACCAAAACCATCTCAGTGGAGGAGGATCCTTCTTTCCTGCTCCCGGGTACCTCCCTCCCTGGTGGACAGCCCCTCTTGGAGTTGGTGTGGACACTCACCCTGTGCTCTGTCATGTGGCAGGAGCAGCAGCCGCTGCGGTCCAGCCCCACCGTGGGCTGCAGGGTGGCTTACCTGGGCTATCTGAGCTGTAGTGTTGCTCTTTGCACCCAGGAGGACCATGGCCAGAGCAGAGGAGATGCTCATGGGAGAGATGAACACGTTGTTGTCCGGGTCGTCCTGACACAATCCGTTTAAGAGGCATTACAATCGACCCCAGACAAATGCTTGAAGAATAAACTGTGAGAGGTGCAAGAGCAGAGTGTCTCTGTGAGCCTGTGCATGTAGCTGTGCACGCTCTGCATGTAAGTACACGTGTGTCACATGTGTTCAAGCCAACAGGTGTGGATGGTACATGCAGGCATATGGTATGTTCACACATGTGCTCAAAGCACACTTAGGCATTTGGGAAAAAAATCTTGCTTTCATTTGGAAAGTATTACACTTTGCCCCAGTAGCTGAGGGGTAATGAATCCAGCAGTCTTGGAACAGCACGGAGAACCAGAGGTGGGAATAATGGGCACATTGGACACGACAGGAGGCAGGTGCACCAGAGCACGATGCTTGGCTGCAGGGTGTGAGCCAAGCTCCAACTCCAGCTTTGGTCCAGGCCTAGGAGGAAAAAGTGTTCCTGCTAGTTAGTGACCCAGGGGAGGCACAGAGCTGGGAGTGTGAGAGGCTGAAGCACCCGCCCCCCGGCAGCCTGTGGGTGCTGGGGGCCAAAGGCTTGGACAGCTGCCCAGGGCATGAGGACTAAAGCTACCAGGCAAAGTGGATGTCTGACATTGGTGCCGGCCTCCAGCACTGCCTGGCGGAGGTATCCAGAGTGGCCAGTGAGCCCTGGGCCACAGTGGGAACCGCGGCCCGTGCTGACTCACTGGGGAGGAGGAGTTTGGTGAACAAGTTTGAATGCAGGAATTCTGATGGTGGGGTACCCCACAATAGTAGTCTCCAGGAGAACCCCAGAGGAGAGAGCCACCTCCCTGGCAGCCGCCCTAGGGCTCACTGCTAATACGCAAACGTGTCGTTGTCTGGTTGGCTCTGGACAGCTTCGTGGAGGGATGAACTCGCACACTGTCAGGTGCTCTGATGGAAGCACTGAAGGCCAAGTTGACAAAGGCAGCCGGGGAGGTCTGAAGCAGACGGGCTCTGCCTGTGTCTGTAGGCGCACCTGCGGGCCTTGTCCTCTTGCTTGAAGAGGACGATGACAATACAAGACAGTGTGTTTCAGTGGTCAGGTTCCCATGTCAGGGGGTCACAGGGTCAGAGAAGGCCATGAGACACAGGTAGACACTGTCCCCACTAAAGCATTGGGATTGCAGGGTCGTCCCAAGTATATCCTGAAACAGTTGCCACCCCCAAAAGGCTCCATGAGGCCCTGCAGAATGGCCCAGGGGACCCGAACTGAACCCGAAAGGACTCCAGTCAGAGTCAAGGCTGGACCCGACAGGAGGCTCCTCTACAACCCAGAGCAGAACAGCAGCTGGTGGCTGCATTGAGACCTTGGCTGGAAAGGGGGTCTGGTGGCTGAAACCCCGCCTGTGAGTACAATGGACGCTCTGCAGGATCTGGCTTCAGACTCTAAGCCTGAGAGGTGAGATGCTTTGTCCACTGCACCGGAGGCCAATGGAGGCATTGGGCATCTGCTCTCCACCACTCAGGGGTAGCCCTGTACATCAGGACATGTGCCCAGGGCGCTGAGGTTAAAGGGCACAGGGACCCACTCACCACTGAGACAGGTGGATGGGCTGGCATTGTGGGGATGTATGTTCAGGGTGCCATGGCTAAAGGACACACAGACCCACCGAGTGGGGTAGACAGGATGGCGTTGCGGCACTGGGTTGAAGCCGCCATGTTTGACGCGAGCAGCCCCTATTGAAATGCAGATGCGAGCCGCAGTGCTCTGCTTCCAACCTGGCTTCCTGTTGTTGCTGGTCTTGGACCAGGGATGGTCCAAGTGTTTGGGAACCCTGTCACCCAAGTGGGAAACCCGCTGCAGCTGTCGCAACTACTTGGGGAATGAACAAGCAGATGAAAGAGCTCTTTCTGTCTGTGTAACCCTATCTTTCAAAGAGTTAAATAAATACATTTTTTTTCCAAGAAAATGAGCTTAGAGAGGTGGTCCCCATGGCAGTCCTAAGGTTTTGAACACCCCCTTGGAGTGCCTCACGGGAAAAGAACTCTGACCAGGGCTCAGAAAGGGGCCTTCTGAGAAGCGGCCTGAAGGTGGCGCCAGACACCAACCAGGAATAAACGGGCCATGAGCAACACGGGAGAAGGGAGCTGCCAGGTGACAGTGGCAGGTGGCGGCTCTGAGCCAAGGTCTTTGACCAGAGCGCTGGAGCAAGGAGGTGTGGCTGACTTCTGAGAGCAGCTGTCTGCGGACAAGGAGGGCTGCTGGGCGAGGCGAGGAGGAAGGGTCCCTGGGCAGCAGTGACAATGCAGGGAGGAGCCTGGGGATGACTGGCTGCTAAGTGCTGGTGCCTCAGGGAGCCTGAGAAGTGCTGCACAATCACGCACAGGGCGGCAGGACAACCTCGACTCCGCCCTCAGAGAGCCGTCACGGTGGGCACGCGGCGGCGGCAAGTGCACCTTCGCTGGGAACCTCACAGTTATGCCACAGGTGGGAATAAAAATAAGATGTAAACCCACTATAACGCTGAAACACCTGGCAGGGTGTTCTCCAGCAAAGGAGCCGGGGCAGCTCACGGTACTGACTGGCTAGTTCCACGTGGCTGAGAGCCACACTGTCATCACAAAGAGGGGTCCACAGCTAATTCTCCTGCCTTGACCCCTGACACAGGGTATACATGTATCCACACATCCCACTATACCCCAGGCACACACATCATTCTGTGTTGGCTTAAAAATGGTTCTGAATCAATGACACTTTCCTGGGGCGGGGGGGGGGGGGGGAGGCGGGGAGGCAGAAACTCTCAAACTGAGTCATGAAACCAAAGAAAACAAGTGCAGCTCCACACGTGCAGATCCATCTGAAGACTAGCATCACCGGGAGACAGGCTGTAGAGAGGAACAGCTGATTGGTCAGGGCACAGTTCAGTCCAAGCAGTTGGTGCTTGAGCTGGTAGGTCAGGCTGGGGTGGTGCGCACGCTGGCCAGCAGGGGTCACTGTCCGAAGTACCAGGGGGACGTGCACTGGATGGGCTCCTCCTGCCAGATGTTCTGCAGCCGCTGGGCCCAGGACGTCACCATGGCTTTCCTTTCCGCTTCAGACACGAACTCGGGAGCGAAGCTGATCTGAGGGTTGAGGACTTGAAATCCACAGAAGTGCAACGTGCCGTGCTAAAGCCACGAAGGGAGAAACAGGAGCCATCAGGAGCTTTCTGTACCATTGGATCAGTGATCAGGGAGGGGAAATGGCAGGAGACAACCCTTCCACGCTGACGAAACAACTTCACCATGACGAGGCAGCTGAACACAGCCGCCTTGCCTGGAGCCTTCAGCTGTGGGGCTCTGTATTCAGGCCTCGAGCTGAGCTGCCACTGGAATCTTTGCTACTGATTGGGGCATTAAACATTCGTTTTGGACAACTGGGCCAGTTATCATACCTTCAGACTACAGATTATTCTAGAATAAGATGTTGGAGGGAGCATGCATTGTGGCATCACTGGCATCCCACATGGGTGTTGGTCTCCACTTCTGATCCGGCTCCTCCTCGTGGCCTGGGAAAGCAGCGGAGGATGGCCCAAGTCCTTGGGCTCCTACACCCTTGTGGGAGACCTGAGGAAGCTCCTGGCTCCTGGCCTCCTATCAGCCCAGCTTCACTCATTGCTGCCTCTTGGGGAGTGAACCAGTGCATAGATCTCTCAGTCTCTCCCTCTTTCACTGTAACTCCGCCTTTAAAATCAAGGTACATATAGATATTTTAAAAAATACTTATTTTTTATTTGAAAGGCAGATTTACAGAGAGAAGGAGAGAGCATGCCAGCGCTCTTCCACGTGCTGGTTCGCTTTCCAAATGGTCACAGCAGCTGGAACTGAACCGATCTGAAGCCGAGAGCCATCCCCGGTCGCTTTTCCAGGCCATAAACAGGGAGATGGATCAGAAATGGAACAGCTGAGAACAGATCCAGTGCCCATGTGGGATGCCAGCACTAGCAGGCAGAGAATTAGCCACCAGGCAGTTCCAGAATAAATCTGTAAATCTTAAAATAAAAATAAAACAAAACCCCACAGTAATTAGAATCAGCCACGAAAATCAGGAAATAGATTAAGTGATAAACAAATACTATTCTAAACTCAACAGCCTCTATAAATGCATATGCAATTTTAAGATATAACTGGCAAGGAGAATCCCATTTACAACCAAGGCAAGGGCTGAACATAAAGACAAGAGCACAGCATTCATACAGATAAATGGGATACTTTGAAGATACAATAGGATTGATTTTGCTGACAAAGAATCCTAAAGAAATAGTCATACTGCTGAGTCCCAGGGGCAGGCAGCCCAGATGGCTCCGGGGTCAGGGAGCAGGCCTGCACGCTTGGCTCAAGTTCACAGACCTGGGTCTGTGCGCTCTGTTCCTGCCTTGACAAACGACCCTACACAGGTGTCAGGGTCCCCTTGCCATCCCTGGCCTGAGTCTTGCTCTCCTCAATCCCGTCCTTGGCCTCTGGCCTTCACCAAACAGTGCCACACACAAGAGTACCTAGGCTGCTGGGAGTTACCAAGCTCACCACCCTGGCCTGGGCAGAGAGCCACTTGTGGACCACTTCTCAGGCCCAGGGTGCACATGTGGGCGTCGGGGGTACCACCTGGAAAAGCAGGCCTAGCAGGCTGGGGATGCTCAGAGTCCCCATTCCTGGGGCTGGCTTACCTGCAGGGGCCACAAGAAGTACCGGAAATCACCGCTGATCCCGGCTTTCGAGTACATCTCGGCTGTGCTGCCCGTGGTCAGGGAGAGAAGGGCTAATTTACCCTGCATGGGAGGAAGCACAGGAAGATGTAGACATCTCAGGAAGAGAGCAGGACCACTGTGGCCCCAGCCCAAAGCCCTGCACTGGCTGGGAGGCACACCTGAGATCAGAATCCCGGGCCAAAGACCAAGATACCATTTCCGGCCCAGCAGCCCACCCCCAGGGGAACAACTACATCTTCACAGTCACAACCCCTGGACCCAGACAACAGAAATGCTGATTCCTGCCCAGACGTGTGGCAGGAAGAGGCTCTGGGGGTGAAGAGGCGGGGGCTTTTACCTATGGAAAGCGCCCACATCACTATTTGCTGAGAACGAAAGTGCAAACTAGAACTTGACAGGTGCCCACCTCCACCTGAGCCGTCGTCCATGGTGCCGCAGCACATACCTTGAGAAGACCAGAATCGTAGATTTCTGGGAAGTCGAAGGCAAACCCCTGGCACAGCACCCTGTCCATCCAGCCCTTCAGGATGGCTGGCACACTGAACCAGTACAGTGGGAACTGCAGGAGGAAGCGGGGAACAGCACGGTCAGTGCTCACGTCTGGCCGCTCAGGAGCAGCAGAACAGTCTCCCCAGGCAACGGGGCAGGTCAGCTCTGAGGGGTGCAGTGTGCACACAGCGTGGGGCTGTCACTCACCGCCAGGTGCTGAGGCTGGGCCCTGGGGCAGCCACAAGGGAGAGAGGAGAGGGGGACAGGGGCTTAGGGATCTGTGGTCCCTGTGCCTGAGCCAATACACACGCTCTAGGGCACAGCGATCCACACATGTACACATGGTCAGGACGAATGATCGCGCTGCCCAGTGAGGAAGGGGTGGCATCGCTGAGGGCTGCTCAGAGGCCAGCCTGGGGGCAGTGGGAATCACCCTGCTGCTACACACCCTGGTGACTTTACTAAGCGTGTGGGGACCGCACCATCCCTGGGGACACTGGCAAGTGGTCATAGGCCCCCTGCTCCCCTCCCTTGCAACCACCATGTCACTTCTCCCCTCTAACAGGATTGAACACACAGACCACCTGCACCTACCAGACTCCTGGCTGGGTGGGAGACCCTGGGAGGAGGGAACCCAGCTCCCAGTACAGAGAGAGAGCAGAGCTGATGCAAGGTGGGAACGGGGGAAGCTGAGGAGCTGCAGCCCTGGGTCCCTGTGCCTGAAGCCCAGCCACAGCTGCAGGGGAGGGGTGCCAGGGCCTGGGTGTGCATCCCCCCACCAAGTCCATGTGTCAGAAACTTAACTCCCAGTGAGCTCTCCAGGCCCTGGGAGTCTTCCGAGGTGTCTGGGCTGTGAGTACTCCGGTCACGCCCCTGTCCCAGGAGCAGTTAGCTCCAGGACTGGTGGCTTGTCAGAGAAGCAGGTCTGGCCCTCTGGCATCCTCTAACCCTCTGCCTTCCAGCAAGGGACGACATGGAAGGAAGGGTTTTGTTAGCAGCTACCACCTTAGCCTTGGCCTTCCGGGTCTCCAGAGTCCTCAAGAAGTAAACAAATGCATTTTCTAGAAACATCTCTCAGTGTCCGGGGCACCGTTCTAGCAACAAGCAATGGACTTACACAGGGGAATCATAGCCTTTATGGCTCTCGCTCTTCCTGGATCTGAACTGGACGTTTGCCAACCCAATGACTCCCCTAAGACCCATGGGAAAAGGAAATTGTGCTAGAGTTGAACACTGTTTTATACTTGCTGCCAAGGCATCTGTGTTTTAGTGCCAGGAATGACCCCACTGAGTTAGTGCCTCCTGCAGTATGCTGTGGGGGGCCCAGTCCATCTCCATGGTTATACATGGAAAGGGTGTGTGTGTGTGTTGTAACTGCCCTATCCAGCCATAGTGGACATGTGCTGCTGGCCCTTAGTACCGCCTCCAGGGATAGGAAGCTGGGGAGAGTTGGGACCTATGACCAGTCTGGTCTGACAGGTTAAACAGAGGGCGAACCAACCTGGAATATCACCAGGTCTGCCTCCTGGACCTTCTTCTGCTCCTCAATGATGTCACTGCTCAGAGACCTCTGCTTGTAAGCCTCGTAGACTTCCACTGCATAACTGAAGACCTCGGGGTTAGAGACGGCCCCTGCGGAGAGACAAGGCCAGCTGTCACCGTCCAGGCGGGCTTCCAAAGCCCATCCCAGCTGACCACCTGCCAGGCGCCAGCCCACCGATGGGTTCCAGGAGATTTTGTAGAGGTGACCTAGCGTGTGCCACCCAGCAGGGGCTGAGCTCTCCACGTGTCAGCTTGCTCAATCTCCACCAAGAAGGAACTTGGCCTAACAGGAGGCTCCATGGCTGCTTTGAGACCAGCCAGACCCAAGTGGCCAAGGTGGGATGGCTCGAGGCCCAGGTGTGAGCCCCAGGCCTCTGTGAGAGGCCAAGTCATGGCAAGAACCAAGCCAGTAGTTCTTCCATACACTCCTAAAGTGCAAAAGGCCGAGGGGCCCCTGCAAGCAGCTCCCTGCCACTCACGTGATCCTCGTTCACAGAGGGAATGCCTCAGTCGGGGAGTACTGGGGACAAGGGGCTGCGGACTGCCACACTGCACTACTGTCTGAAACCCTCCTTGAGCCCCTGAAGCCTGGCCTTATCCCACAGTTCCGGCAGATGTGGAAATCCACAGGGACTCCAGGTCCTTACAGAAAATAGGCTAGGATGGGCTGACAACCAACACATCCCTCCGGCATGCACTAAATGGCCTTTAGATCGCGGCCAATACCTGGTGCCAAGAAAATACATGGTCACCAGCTGTTTCGCCATATTGCCTCGGGGATAATGACTCAAACAAGAAAACTACCAACTGTGTTTAGGACAGATGTGACTGCTGGCCCAAAGCCTGAGGCACAGCTGGGCAGGTATGAGGATACAGGCTCTGAAGGTATCCAGGGCCTCGTACCTGCACACAGGTGTGAATCTCCACTTATACTTAGATTAGCACTGTAACAACTCACACCAGATCTTGAGGCTCACTTGGCCTGGGCTGCGGTGCAGGACTGGAGTGGACGTGCAAAGGAGGTTGCTTGGTCTTTTATCCCAGGTTCTCTACATTTTTAAACATTTTCTTTCACATTAAGCTCATGCTACATTATTTCTTCAAAAGCCAGTGGCCCTGTATCCCAGCACCCTCGCCATTCCTAGTCCCCGCTCTGCTCATCATCAGGAGAAAACAGTCAACTGACTCATTTGAAAAACGGAAAGACGAAGATCAGGATGGAGGCTGTGTTGCCGTGAGTCTTGGATCTTGTGTCTGCAGATGCAGCTTATGCGATCACTAAGAGAATGGGATTCAAGGTGTTACTACGAGGTGGAGGCAGGGGACGCATCACTGCAGGTGATCTGCATCCTTGGGAAGCTCCAGTGAGTGGGGTCCTCACAGATGAGAACCAGCAGTGACGGCTGCATGCATGTCCTCGCTCTCTGCTCTCTCTCTCATACACACACAGAATAATGAATCACCCGCCTCACGAGGCAAAAACACCGGGTTAATAATGACAGACAGAAGAAGATGCAGTGACCCCACGTTCCTGGAGAGAGGGAGCTGACGCCACACAAGGGCGATTCCTCCTGCATTCACTTACACATGTAACGGAACCCCACAAACAACAAATCGTGGGGTTTCCTTGTGAATCTGAAGAGCTAATTCAAAAAAGATTCCAAGGCAAAACAAAGTACATGTAATTAGAAAAATAGAAAAGAAGGGAAATGCAGGAGACCTGGCTCTGCCAGATACTGAATCGCATTATTTGCCAAAAGAATTAAAATCATGTGGTACTGAGTCATGAGCAGACAGGGAGAACAGGACAGGAAGAGAATACCATCACGTGGGGGAGGGATGATTGCATTTTCAAGATTTATTTACCCGTTTGAAAGGCAGAGCGGAAGAGAGCGAGTAAGAGATGAATTTGCTGATTTGTCCCACGATGGCCAGGCCTGGACGCACATGGGTGACAGAGGCCTGAGCCCTTGGGCCGTCTTTCGTTGCTTTCACGGGAAGCTGGACTGGGAGCTGGACTGGGAATTGGACTGGGAGCTGGACTGGGAGTGGAGCTCCTGGAATGGAGCTGGTGCTCATGTGGGACAACAGTGTCTGATTGTCTGCTTCACACGCTGGCCCGAACCATGAGAATTCTGAGCAGGATACAGAGCAGAATGAAGGTGCGTTTCAAATCAGGGCCCAGGCAGTGAGCAGTGATGAGACAAATGGGTGGGTAACTTGGAAAACAAACCACACCATATTTCACATTCTGCACTGGAGTGAATTTGAAATACATAAAACATTGACATGAAAAGTACAGCATGCCAAACAGGAAACTATGAAACTGATTTTTATAATTTCTGGTTTATATTAAGTCTGATATACTATCCAGAAGCTAAATGAAAAAAAGATTTCTATTAAAGAAAAAGCCACCCTGAGCAGGTGAGAAGCAAATAAATCAAGCAAAACCCACGTGGGGTACAAAGTACTAGCAGGACAGGTGTGTCGCCCCACGCTGCAGGCCGGATCTCAACCCCGCAAGCCTGGCCCCACCCGCTTCTTGCTAACGTAGACAGGTGATGGCTGGAATGGCTGGACCCTGACAGGCGTGTGGGAAACCTGAACTGAGCACCGTTTCTGCTTTAGACCCGGCCCGGCTCGGCTGCCGTGGCATTTGCAGAGTGAAGCAGCGGGTGGTAGGCCTCCCTCTCAGTCTGTCTCTCCATCCACCTTTCAAACAGGTGAAAATAAATCAATCTCCAAGACTTTCTAGTTCATATTCCACATGGAAGACTATTTTTTAATAGAGAGTTCTTTAAAATTGGTAAGAAAGGACTTAGAGCTATAGCCTAGTGGCTAAAGTCCTTGCCTTGCAAGTGCCAGGATCCTATATGGGCACTTGTTCGTGTCCCAGCTACTCCACTTCCCATCCAGTTCCCTGCTTGTGGTCTGGGAAAGCAGTGAGGACAGTCTGGGACCCTGCACCAGCAGGAAGAGGTTCCCAGCTCAGGATGGCTCAGCTCTGGCCATTGTGGCCAACTGGGGAGAGAACCAGCTGGCACGGGGATCTTTCTATCTCTCCTTCTCTTTGTAAATCTGACTTTCCAATGAAAATAAATCCTTAAAAATAAAAAAGATCCACCGTGTAGTACAGATAATGAACTAGGCACATTTGGGAAAGAAGATTTTTTAAAAATTTTAATATTAATATTAATGAATATCAATGAAAATCAGCAAGCAGCTACTCTACTCCTCATGAGAGGACGGATTAGAACTCTTAACGGGAGACCTTTCTCACCTGTCACACTGGCTGTCATGAGTGACAGGGAGGAAACGGTACCCCGACAAGCACGGCTGCTGCGAGGGTCAACGGGCACGTGTGGACGGTGACTCGTCTCTCTTCAGGAGAATGAAGCAGGCACAGCCTCCTGCAGAGCTAGTCTACCTCTGGACATACTTGCACACGCAGGCAAACACACACAGCCACGGCTCATTAAAGCGTGATTTGCCACAGCAAATGATCAGACACCAGAAGACACGCTCTTCAGCAGAGGAAACATAAACAGTGACACTGACTTGCACGCTCCGTGGAATACCGTGCAACAGGAAAGAGAAAGCACCAGACAATGAGCATCCTACACGACGACGTTTGCAAACACCACAGGTGAAAGGAGAATGCTCTCACAAGAGTGTCCACGGCACCGACTGTCCCGGGCAGGACACAGGCTGGCTTTCCACCGAGGGGCCCAGCGACGGGCGCGGGGGACTGACGCCGTGGACTTGCTCAGCCCGAGACACCTACACGGACGTGCCATGCTTCACTTTTCCAAAAGCTCTTTCTGTAATTAAACCACACCAAGGAGCAAGTGGCACACCAGCGGAGCCCCGGCGCCTCCGACTCACCGGTGATGTCTTTCCTCGTGGCCCGGGGCTCGAAGTCCATGGCGTAGAGGTCGGACACAGTGACCGTGCAGCCCTGCTTGCTCAGCTCCTCCACGGCCACTCTCTTCAGGGACCCGTTGAAAGACTTGGGCTCCTGGTGGGCGTACACGATCAGCACCTTCTTCCCTGCGTCAGGGGCAGAAACGGTTCTCCATGAAGAGCAATTTTTCTTGGTCAAAAGTCAAGGAGGACGGGGATGAGAAGGAAGTGCTTCGGTGTACTCTCGTGCTTGAAGCCAAGACACCACAGTTTCTCAACGGGTAGCAGTTATAAAGTCACACACGTGTTCTCAGACAGCTATACCATAGCCCGTCGTCGCCAATACAGATGGAGAATCCACGGTTGGAAATGCCTGGGGCCACAGCGTGCTTTTCTTTTTCGGATGGTGGAATATGGCATTGACCTTTTTAGGCTGGGCACCCTAATCTAAAGGTCCCAAATCTGAAATGTTCTAAAACCTGAAAATTTCTGAATGCCACTGTGCACTTCACGTAGTGGAACTTCAGATCAGGGACACTCAACCTGCACACACTGGTATCTTCTACACAAAACCAAACAAACAAACCCGCGGGCGGTGCTGTGTGCAATGCTGGCATCCCACACCAGCTTGAAGCCAGGCTGCCCGACTTCCAGTCCAGCTCCTTGTGAACACAGCTGGGAGGGCAGTGGGACACAGCCAATTCATGGGCCCTGCTGCCTACACAGGAAGGCCAGACAGAGTTTTACTGGCTCCTGGCATTGTTCCGGCCCAGGCCTGACTGTGGCAGCCATCTGAGCAGTAAACCAAAGGATGAAAAACCTCTTATTCTATCTATGGAAAACCCCCCTATGCTGGGTCAAAACAGTTTGGTCTGTTCGGCTGAGGGTAAAGGTTGACCCATGCACAAGATTAATGAGTAACGTTTTCTGCTAATGGACTCCACCCTACTAGAGACATAACAGGAAAACAACACCAATGAAACCCATCCAGGTTTCTCAAGGAGGACCAGGCACTGCCTGCAGGGGACAGTTCTCCATGTCTGGACATTCTTGGTTGGAACAGGCAAGGAGAGGCCTGGGGTGCCCCTGGACCACGCTGCGATGGGACAGCAGGCCCACAGAGTCAGTAGTGCTAAGCTGGAAAAACCTTCATCTACACGAAAAAGTAAACAATAAAGCGAGGGTAAATTTCCTAAAATGAAGATTTACATGTTACGCCATGGCATCCAAGAATAAAAAATGTGTGTGTATGTTTTGCCTGTGCACATGATAGATAAGCACTTATGAGGAACCTCAGCTTCTATCCAGCTCCTCCAGGGCCTGACTTGGAGTCTACTGTGTGTACCTGCTGTGTCCCAGCAATGATTTTGGGGACTAGAGACAGGTGCGGTCTGGCACCCTCCTCCTGAGGAACTTCTATATTCTGGGTGCAGGTGATAATATATAATAAACCAAGTAAGAAAACACAAGACAAAGTGGCCACAGAGATCTGTTAGCACAGGGTTTACATGGGACTGTGTTGCTCAGGTTCTTTATACTAAACAACATGGCACCCCATTCTGATTTCAAAGCTGCATTGTTACCTGCCATGGTGTAGGGAGATGTGTTCTTTCTCCAGCTGATTCTGTGCTCCAGGCAGTGGCTGTCCCCGTGGTTAACCTGTGGGGGAGACAGGAGGCAAGGCTGTGGGTCTCTGGGCTTAGAGAAGGATATGCAAACGCAGGCTGGCTGCCCTCCCGCCCCAGCTCCACTTCCCATTACAGCTTCCTGTGGGTGCACACCCCGGGAGGCAGCTGCTCAAGTACTTGTGCGGAAGCTGGACAGAGCTCCTGGCTTCAGGCTGGCCCAGCCCTGGCTATCATGGGACTTGGGAGAGCGAGTCGGCAGGCATATTTCTCTGTGTCTCTGCCTATGTGGTTGGGTGTGTGTCTGTCTTTCAAATGAATAAAAACAAATAAGTGAAAAATTCAAGGAGATTTCAGTCTCAAGGAACAAATCATGCAGGATATCAATGCTGATCTCCCCTCCCCTTTTTCCAAGAAGACTCAGCACCTTGCAGGAAGGCCTGCCTGTTAGGTAACACAGGCAGCTGGGCAGGGGCAGAGGTAGCAGTCAGCTGCCATGTTGCCACTGGAGGCCTGGGAGATGGTACTGGTGTGGTTTTGGGACCTTTCGTCTGCCGAGAGGACAGGGGCTTGGTTTGGGAACTAGACTCCAGCCACAGGTCTCTAGTCTACCCTCTACCCGCTCTCAGAAGCTCTGTGGGTCAGCAAAGGGACTTAGACCACATTCCAGAGCTGCTTTTCTAACTCTGGGACCTGTTCCATGTCCCTTGCCCTGCAAAGTCAATACATGGCCCAACAGAGGCAGGGCATTGGGTCGGTGGTCCTACAAGGTGGCCAGCACACGATGGCATTCTGGCCAGTGTCAGCTCTCAATGGCAGGAGGGTGCCCTGTCTTTCTGGCCCAGCTGGCCATAGACTGGCTTCATCCAGGAACAGCAAGGAGCTGGCTACAAACTCTCTGTAACTCTGACCCTGGCAGCAGTGCATGTTTTAGACTGAGAAACGATGGTGTGCCTGAGCGGTGAGACCCTGTGGGTTAACAGAACCAGAAGGGGAGGGAGAGGGGGAGGGGAGAGGAGGACAACGCCGGAAGCTGTGGTTGGAAGGGTGAGTGAGGCCCGACCAAGCCAGCGGCAGGGAGAACTTCACCTCTAGAGGAGGGCAGTGACCCTTTCAGAATGGTCCCTGGGGAACAGCTCACCCTGTGACTCGCCCACAGGCGCCACCAGACGCATGCCAGTTCCTGCCCCTGTGGACATGCCGCCCGGCGCCCTAACAGCCACGCAGCACTTCTCTGCTCCATTGTCCACAGGCCTCTTTGTGCCCAGGGCCCTGCTCCTGGATACTGGGGTCATTTCCACTTTCTTGCAGAACCACGGGTAGCGCTGTCAGCTGGGTTAGAATGACCCTCTTCAGGGCCTGGCACGGTGACCTAGAGGCTAAAGTCCTTGCCTTGCATGTGTCGGGATTCCATATGGGCGCCGGTTTGTATCCCAGCTGGCCCATTTCCCATCCATACTTGTGGCCTAGGAAAGTAGTTGAGGATGGTCCAAAGCCTTGGGACCCTGCATCCATGTGGGAGACCTGGAAGAGGCTCCTGGCTTCAGGTACGCTCAGCTCCAGCCGTTGCAGCCACTTGGGGAGTGAATCAACGAATAGAAAATCTTCCTCTCTGTCTCTCCTTCTCTTTGCATATTTGACTTTCCAATAAAAATAAATAAATGTTTAAAAAAAATAGAATAGCCTCTTTTCTTAAAGAGGAACCAGGTCCTTGGGAACTGAGCCCCATGGAAAGTGAAACCAATTTCCAAGAAGTTAAACTGTGACCTTAACTACAAAATTGTTCACCTTGACTCCAACGTGCCTGTAGTGGCTGCTGCACCCTTGCTGGCTGGCCAGCGTCAAGGCCCCAAGGATGTGGATTTTTTCCCTTTAAGTCCCACCCGTGCCCAAGCCTATCCCAATGTCCCGGAGGAAAGCAGGTCACCGGCTGCACTCCCGCGGCCTGCTCAGGCCTCTCGGGGATCCGGGACTCTGTCCTCACAGCACAGGTGCCCAAGGCCAGCCCTCAGGAAGATTCTTCAGGTCAGGCACTCAGAGGGGTGGTCGCAGGAAGACCCACTCCGTTTCCTAAAAGGAGTGTGCACGAACTGGATGCCCCAGGCAGCTCGCCGAGCTGTGAGCTGGCAGCTCCCAGCGGTGAGAATCTTCCCTCCGACCCCCAGGGCTGCAGCCCTTGGGGTACTCACCCTCCGGCCGCCTCGTGTCCCTGCTGGGAAGGAGCCCCGGGAGCGACAGAGTTAGCTGGTTTCCGGCCTCGCGAGCAGTGCGTGGCCGCTTGGGTGCAGGCTGACCCAGGGCAGCCGAGGCCTAAGTGCCGCTCCAGGCCTGACCACATCCCGTCCGGGGAGGGGCTTCCTGCCTAGCCCCTCCCACCAGTCCCGCCCCCGTTAGTCCCCGCCCCTCGCCAGGACTGCAGCCCCGCCTCCGGAGCCGGGTCGGGTCTCTGTGCTGCGGAACGCTGCAGGAGGAGCGAAGTGCCGGACGGGCTGCGTCTCACTTCCTCCTCCTCCAGGACTCCAGCACAAAGTGAGGGTCACTTCCTCCTCCTCCACGACTCCAGCCGAAAGTGGGGGGTCCGCAGGAGGAGCTCTAGAGGCACCCTGAAGCCTGCTCGCATCGCCCAGGAGTTGGGCCCTGCCTGCACGCGGCCATCTCCGGAAAGGGGGATAACAGATGCGCGGTGGCTGGGGAGGAAGGTGGCCGTGGAGACACTAGGCCTGCTGGAGAAGACCGGGGTGGCTGTGTGTCTGAGGGCAACTGCTCTGCCCAGGAAGAGTGATCGGACCAAAGTAAGATTCATTAAATATTCCAAAGCCGCCACATCCAGCAGCTGGAAAGTCTTGAAACCAAAGTTGGAGGCCCTTGGCCCCGGACCTTGGGAGGAAGGGGAGCAGGGGCAGCGCTTACTGAGCACGCACCCCGGGTCCCCTAGGGTCCTGGTAAGGGAGAAATGGACTCTATTAACCGGGAAAGAGACTAGTGAGGCATGGCAGGCCTCTGGGAGAAGCATTTGTGCGTGTGTTCACAGATATACATGGATGTGTCTGTGTGTCCATGGATGTGTCTGTGTGTCCATGGATGTGTCTGTATGACCATGGATGTGTCTGTGTGTCCATGGATGTGTCTGTATGACCATGGATGTGTCTGTATGTGCATGGATGTGTCTGTATACACATGGATGTGTCTGTATGACCATGGATGTGTCTGTATGTGCATGGATGTGTCTGTGTGTGCATGGATGTGTCTGTATGTGCATGGATGTGTCTGTATGACCATGGATGTGTCTGTATGTCCATGGATGTGTCTGTGTGTCCATGGATGTGTCTGTATGTGCATGGATGTGTCTGTATGTGCATGGATGTGTCTGTATGTCCATGGATGTGTATGTGTGCATGGATGTGTCTGTATGTGCATGGATGTGTCTGTATGACCATGGATGTGTCTGTATGTGCATGGATGTGTCTGTGTGTCCATGGATGTGTCTGTATGTGCATGGATGTGTCTGTGTGTCCATGGATGTGTCTGTATGTGCATGGATGTGTCTGTGTGTCCATGGATGTGTCTGTATGTGCATGGATGTGTCTGTGTGTGCATGGATGTGTCTGTATGTGCATGGATGTGTCTGTATACACATGGATGTGTCTGTATGTGCATGGATGTGTCTGTATGTGCATGGATGTGTCTGTGTGTCCATGGATGTGTCTGTATACACATGGATGTGTCTGTATACACATGGATGTGTCTGTATGTGCATGGATGTGTCTGTGTGTCCATGGATGTGTCTGTATGTCCATGGATGTGTCTGTATGACCATGGATGTGTCTGTATGTGCATGGATGTGTCTGTGTGTGCATGGATGTGTCTGTATGTGCATGGATGTGTCTGTATGTCCATGGATGTGTCTGTATGTGCATGGATGTGTCTGTATGTGCATGGATGTGTCTGTGTGTCCATGGATGTGTCTTTATGTCCATGGATGTGTCTGTGTGTCCATGGATGTGTCTGTATGTGCATGGATGTGTCTGTGTGTCCATGGATGTGTCTGTATGTGCATGGATGTGTCTGTATGTGCATGGATGTGTCTGTATGTCCATGGATGTGTATGTGTGCATGGATGTGTCTGTAGGCTACTGTGTTGGGCCCTCATCTCTTCTTTGTGTCTGGTAACTCTGGGTTGGTTGCTTGATTTGGTTTCACATATACACACACTTGCTGGTCTGTGGCCTCTTTAAAGTCAAGCTCTGTAGAAGTCCACAGGGTGGGACCCAGCGTGGGTACCAGCTTGTGACCCACCAGCTCTGGGCTTTGAGGCCTAGGAAAGCCAGTGGAGGATGACCCAAGGCCTTGAGGCTCCGCACCTGCATGGGATACCTGGAAGAGGCTCCTGGGTTTGAATCAACTCAGTTCTGGCCATTGTGGCCACCTGGGGAACCAGTGGCTGGAAGATCTTTCTCCTCTCTATAAACCTGACTTTCCAACAACAATAACAAAAATAAACCTTAGAAAAGGAGTCCATAGAGTGGGCTGTGAGTGGCAAGAGGAGGCCCACCTTGCAGACATACCAACCATGTGGACAGGTCACGTAGCCGAGTGAGCCTTAGGAAAGACTTCCCATCCACATTCCTCCATACACAAAGAAATATTTGTAAAACACAGACAAAGCGTTCCCTCTTCTGGAAAACATGAAGGGGAAGCTCTGGACGCCCCGGAAAGCGCTCAGAGGGCCCTAAACAATGCAAGGATGGCTGTGGGCTCTGGGGGATGAGGAGCTGTCTGTATGGGGGACTATCGTGGGGAGAGGGCCTCCCCAGGTCACCCACCCTAGGGTCTTCAGGCAGGTACTCGATGGAGGCTGTCATGTGAGCTTTGCTTCCCCCACCCCAACACTGCACTGGGCTGGCCTAGGAGTGCACGGGGTGGCGAGTGGGGTGCTCCATGGCTGCCTGTGACAGCAGGTGCTGGGGTTGGAGACCTGGCTGCCCCATTTCTCATCCAGTTCCCTGCTAATGCACCTAGGGTGGCCCAGGATGGCCAGGGCACCGTTCTTGGCTTCAGGCTTTCGTCTGGACTCTTACCATTGTGCTCATTTGGGGAGTGAAGTAGTGACAGAGGGACGTCCCCCCGCCTCCCCGCCCCGTCTCCCTCTTCATCTCCCTTTCTTCTCCTGTCATTCTGCCTCTCCAATAAGTAAGTGGATGCATAGATCTTTTACATTCTGTGTTCTTCGAGAACACCGGAAGGGACCAACCAGCCAGACTTGACGAGAATGCATGTAGGATTTTTAAGGATCCACAAAAGAGCCTGTACGATGACTTCTGGGCTGCTTGTACTAAAGTAACGCTCCCAGGATCAGGAAAGCTAAAGCCGAGCCAAGAAGTTGGCTCCCAAACTTTGCCTGAGCACGACCCTTCGCGCAGTGGCATGGTCTCCCTCTGACCTGAGTGGTGCGTCCGGTCCACCCGCATCGGCTTGACCTTCTGGGGGGGGGGGGGTGTCTCCGCCCACACGACCTGGACCAGCACGCAGGCAGGCTGACCTTGGCGACGAGAAGAAGCTCCGGGAACTTCCAGACTCCTGCTCCCCCTGGGAGATGCACCACCCTGCCTGCGCTCATGCGCTGTGCTGGAAATTCTCTTCCATGGACGCCTCAGTTACTGGTGGACATAAATAGGCGCCAAATGGGAATGTGCTGGCGCTCCTCTCCCCAGCGTGAGTCACACTCACCCCAAAGGACTCCAGTCCGTCTTCCCGGAACCTCTACCCGCCCCCTGGGGGAGGGGAGCAGCCAGCTTCGCGGTGGGGCGCAGGGCTGCAATGGCCAGGGGTACCTGCCTCGCTGCAACGCTGCTGCAGCGGAGAGGTAGAAACACCTCCCGCCCCCTGGGAGTGCACAGGGCCGGCGTGTCCACGTCCCTGCAGGCTGCCGAGCTAAGGCTGTGCCCTGGAACCCTGTTATGCAGCGCAGGCCTTCTGGGACACCTGGAGGCCTTGGTGGGGCGGGTTTCCTTTCTCTATTGTGTGGCTCAACCTGCTGACCCATGCCGGCCCTTCCCCGGCCCGGCTCTGCCCTTAACCCTGTGACCTGCGAGGGCTGACTCACGCTGTGGTTTCCTCTGTCGACGGCGAGGAGGGCTGGGGACAGGGCTGCAGTCCCCTGAAAATCACAGTGAATTTCTCCATTCTCATCTCCCCGCTAAGCCCCCCAACAGGCCCCCGCCCTGTGCCTTCTCCCCTTTTGAGCTGGCCTGGGTCTCATCCCGGCATTGGGTTCCCTGCCTCCGGGCTAGCTCCCACCCACATTCCCAGCACAACCGTGTTTCCAAGCCATGGCTCTGCCCATGTGGCCACCCAGGGACTGTCCACTCACCACACATCCTGAATGTTAGCAGCCGTCGTGGCACGGCCCTGCCACTTGAGGGCGCCTTTTGCTTTGGGAGCGTGGCTGGTCCAGGCAGTAGCAGCCCTCTGTTCTTCTCTATTCTTCCAGAACTGGGGTGGGCTAGTTCAATCTTTCTGGGCACACCCAGTCCTCTGGCCGCGAGTACTGGGGTGTGCCGGATTACGCCGGATTACTCGGCAGCCTCAGCGGGGTATCTCAAGGCCAGTTTCTGGAATTTTCCAAAGGGCATTATGTAACTGTCCGTTGGAACACTACATCAGTCATGAGTCACAAAAGCAGTTCCCTTTTGTGACGCCGGAGTGTGAGAAGGCCTGGAAAGCTGTGCTCAGTGGGGTTCCGTGACTGCCTCGCCCGCGAAGCGGAGGGCGAGGGACAGGCAGGTTACTCCAGGGACAACCTGTAAACCATCAAAAGGACTTTGCTTAGGAAGCTGGAAGGATGGGCCCTCCGCATCAGGCCTTGTGACAGTCTCGCATCATTGCTGTTGGCGAACAGAGCGAGGGAGTAGAGGACCATGTGTTAGTTGAAAGAAAGTCATGTGTCTCGGTGGGTAGAGACTCCTGCACCGGGGGTGAGACTGCACATTCTGGGGAAAGAGAGCTTGCATATGTTGAGTTAGAGGGAATTTGTGTTATGGGTCAGGGTGTATATTGGGGCAAAAAGAGTATTGGGAGGAGAGAGCATGTCTACACGAGGGAGACGGGTGGGAGAGCGCTGCGTCTGATATTTAGCTTGCTTTCTAACATTTTACCTGTTTGAAAGCCAGAGTTGTAGACACAGAGAGGGAGAGAAGGAGATCTTCCCTCCTTGGCTCACCCCCCGAGTGGCTGCCATGCCTGGGGTTGGACCACAGGGAAGCCCGGAGCTGCTTCTGGTCTCTCACGTGGC